CTAAGGATATCAAAACAATTTTACTTCTTTCTTAATAATACACCAAAACTACTCCTATTTAACTTTTACTTAACCCTACCCCCTACCCCCCCCCCCACCCCACACACACACACGCACACACCCCACAAAATTAGTAAGAAAATCTCTCTTTCTGTTATGAACAATAAAAGAAGAAGAAGAATATTGCAGAGAAAAGTAGAGAGAGAATTCTTATTGATTTTTGGGATGAATTACAATGGAATAGAACCCTCTATTTATAGGGAGAGGGTGACTTAGCCACCAACCAATGAACCCTAGAATCTCTCTAAATATAGACATTCACCATAAATATAATTATATTTATAACACTCCCCCTTGAATGTCTATTCAACAGATAATATGCCTCGTTAAAACCTTAACTAAAATAAAACCCAATGGGAAAAAAAATTCTAGAAAAGGAAAAAGAGTACACATATCTAATAATACGCCTTTTGGTTGCCTCGTTAAAAACCTTGCAAGGAAAACCCAGTGGGACAAAACCTTGTAAGGGAAAAAGAGTACAACGCGTATTAACTCCCCCTGATGAGAGCATCAATTCACATCCTTGAGCATTTGCATTCCAATCTTGTGCACCATCTTCAAAAGATCTTTGGTAGAGATTTGATGAACAAATCAGCCATATTAACTTGAATGAATATATTGCACCTTGAAATCATCATTCTTGATAGAGATATAATGTCTTCATAAATATCGTAGAATGGCTCTTCAATATCTCTATGGAGGTATTCTCGCTATCAGATTATCATGCTTATAGTTATAGCAAGATACATATATGCACAAATTGCAATGAGGATGTGGTACTTCAAGATCAAGAATTGTATATGCTTCAAGCAATTTAAATCTTTCAAGGGTCTCATAAGTTAAGCCATATAAGTCATATAATAGACTTTAATTAGATGCATATCAAGGTTTCATGTCATGCTAGACAAATAAGATATCGAAAACTGATTGCACATATCATTGGCTTTATACTTTCAATTATTTGAACTACATGTTCAAAACTACATGTCTTTCATATGAATTCAAAATATACTTGAATTGTGGCTCTTCCATTTGGCCAATATTTGTGTGTCTATATTCGATAGACTTAAGATCCTCGTCTATCTTAGCCCTATGATAGATGTCGTCGACAAACATTTTATATCGGTTCCAACCTCCTTATTTTTAATAAAGACATAACATAGAGATCTCTTCATTCATATATTCAGATACCTGAATCTCTCATGAGATTTTATGAAGTGTTATGTCATGTGATCTTCTAGATCACTTACCTCCTTTATTATGATCATTTTGATCATTTGCTCATCTTCTTTATGAAGAAGTTTATTTGAACCGATTTGTCTATATGCTTTAAGCGTACCATAGACGTTGTCCTTCTAGGACTTAATAAGAGCATTTGCAATGAGAATATAGTTACTTTCTTTGGGTCAGCAAATGCGTCTGGCATGCTTTGCAATAAATTGCACATGAATTATCCTTTTATGAACTTCAAGTTCATATTATCTTATTCGAGGATCTAGATGTACACATGATAATTCATTCCATGTAACTTTTTCTCAACTGTTGTATCTTGTCTCCCCCTCGTGTTAGAAAAACTAACTTGTTTCCTCAACTTTGAGAACCCATCTTTGTGCGTTATGGTGTTAATCAAAATATACACCGCACATCAATAATAATAAGATGGAATTATTTGGTTCCTGATCCTGAACCACTTGTGAGGGGAGAAAATAATATACTTTGGTATATAATGTATATCAAACTGATATAGATAACTTTGTTCTCATAAGCAATAGTTTAGCTATTAAGTGGAGGCACTCAATAGATCATTTTGCTAAACCAACTGTGATGTAAACCAACTTATCAAGGGGAACTTCTTGAATGGAAAATCTGGAAATTGTGCTCGAAATTAATTTATTGAGCAAGTTACCTCGCAAAACACCATGTTGCAGGTTATTAATAATCGCACATGTAACCATCTCATAGATGCATCTTATGTGGTATACATGGCGGGTGAATGAGCCCATATTCACCTTTGATATTTCCAGCATTCATGGGATTCAATCCCAATTTTAGTTGGTATATTAATTAATGAGAACAACCAACATAAGAGAATTCGTAAAGAACTTTCTAGTTCTTTAATATTTACCCATGTGAATTCTCTTTTATTTTTGCACATCATACTTAAATTGATATGGGTAAACCAATTATGCCAACTGAATAAATTATCAATATTGATAAACTTCAGATTTACACCATGACGTGTGCAATTATCAATAAACTCCAAGTTTATTATGATATGAGTTTTTATATCAATAAACATCCACTTTATTGTGGTATTCTTTTATTTGTGTAGTACAAACTGGAGAATAAAGTGGGTAGCTTTTCACATACATATTACCCCGCTACAAGTTGTAGTAATAGAAGATATTAAATCTTTCCTTTATTTATAGTCTCAGTATGACCAACCGCTTTCGCGAATACTTTAAAAACTGAATAAGTTTCTTTGGGACTTACTACAACACAATACCTTATTGGTAATCAATTGTGTTTCTCCAAAATAGTAATAATTGGCTCTTCCAGAGCTCTCGATTAATTTGGTACTACCACATATTCATCAACACTCATATGGTGAATATCTCTTTTAAAGAGAAAGTTATACCATTATAGTCATGGTCAAAATTATATGCAAGATCTGTTTCTTGCATTACCGTTGTCTATTAACAATCACAATGCCAAAATATTTTGGCGTACAATAGGTACGTGACCAATGACCATTCATGCCATAATAATGACATTATTTTCTTATATCATCTCAAACCTTCTTTTAGAGGTGAGTGCGGTATATTCACTACCACTAGCACGTTCATATTCTTTGAAGAATGAATATGTATTCATAAATCAGATGTTGTCACATTCACATCATGAATGGACCATAATCATCTATATGTGCTTTACAAAATCTCATGTCAAATCGATGACAAATATTTTTCACAGAGTGAAAGATTATTTTGAGAATCCTTATTGTTCTCATTACCACAAATGATGACGATTATAATTTCGTCTATTGCCACGTCCATATCCATTGATACATTCATAGTGATAATTTTGTCTTCTTTCAGACTTATCACATACTGCTATCACATTCTCTTAAGGGAATGAGAATGGAGCAAATTCAATGGGACGGGTTTTCAATTCTTTGCCCACAATCATACATGAATTTGATCGCATAGAAATTTTACCACTTCAGGTGGTTATAATTTCTTACAAACTCCATTAGAGTTATAATCAAACTTTGTTGTCTTTGCTTGTATTTAAAATCAAAGTATAGAATAAAAGAGAAAAATACAGTAAAATACTTACCTTAAATCCAGAATTTAATCATGAAGGAAGTTCATGGAATAATTGACAATCATTATGCTCAATCCCAAAGCTTCTACTCAATTGGTTAGAGTCTCGTGCTGATAACGTGTTATGAACAATAAAAGAAGAAGAAGAATATTGCAGAGAAAAGTAGAGAGAGAATTCTTATTGATTTTTGGGATGAATTACAATGGAATAGAACCCTCTATTTATAGGGAGAGGGTGACTTAGCCACCAAGCAATGAACCCTAGAATCTCTCTAAATATAGACATTCACCATAAATATAATTCTATTTATAACACTTTCTTACTAATCACCAAAATCTCTATTTTTTATTTATACAATGCAGACAAAATTCGAGAATATTACTCTAGAATCAAGATGTGTGTAAGTTCTGAATCTTGTTTGTTCTTTTTAAAATCTTTATTGTATGTGACTTGTATATGATACATCAATACCCAAAACAATACTTGATACAATACTAATACAATTATAATACGATTATATTAAGATTTTTAGTATAGAGTTGTAATTGAAACTTGAAGAAGATGAATATCATAAACGTATCGCAATTTTTCAGAAATGTATTGTGATTGTATTATAATAGTATATGTAGCATAATTGTTGAAGGATTTGTATTGCAAATGTATGATAATTGTATATTCATTGTATATTGGTACGAGCAGTTGTGAGTTCCTGACGAATTTCAAAGTTTGTATCACAAATATATGATAATTGTATATTTACTTATTAGTATTGTATCAGGTATTAGTTTAAGTATTAATGTACCATATACAAGTTAGACACAATTATGTTTTAGGCATTGATGTAGCTGATATAATTCAAATACAATTATGATATAATTATCATACAATTCCTGAATATTTCTTCACTTTCAGTGTTGTCCAGTCTCCCAGCAAAAGAACGATGCAATTGATGATTTTTTAATAATATAAAGCTGTCGGTAATAGTGGAAAGAGAGAATCACGATTCGAAGGTAATTATTATCACAGTGTAGAGCTTGCAAAACAACAGAATATGGTAATCAACCAAATCAGCACTTGATTGGGTGAACACTTCGATGAGTAGTGTGGATCCTTTGTGAAATAACCAATCCACAATAACCATTTGGCTGCCATTGATGCATTATATTTATGTTCACATTTTGCAGATCTTGTCCCTATTGATATTACAAGGAAACGCCCGTAATCCATTGGTTTTATTGGGAAGAAATCTGAGTTGTCCTTCAATTTCTTTGCTTACTTCTGATACTGCAATCAAAGCCTGCAGAAAATACATGACTTTTAAGGAGCAATATATATAATTTGTGAATTGAGAAGATGGAGATGATGGGCGTAGATTAAGGAATTTTAATGTTAAAAAAACGAAGGAGAGAGTAAATGATGTAATTGAATCTCTTAATTGAAGGCGTTAGAAATGGGATGGGAGCAATGTATATAACTTGTAAGAAAAACTTAGATACTTATTAAAAACTACAAAACATATAGAAAATAGATAAATAAATTTCTAATATAGTATAGCTAGGTAAAAATCCCAACAAACTTAATCTGTAATATTATTCTCTTTAATTAATCGGTAATACATTGATAATTATTCGTATACTTTCCGGTAAGTTTTACTAATAACTAAAAGTATTAAGCAAATGACTCCTAATATGTTTTAATATAGGTTCGAAACAAAATAAGAAATGTGGATAAGGATATGTTCTGGTTTACTTATAAGAATTGTTGACAAAATAATACTCAAAATAAAAATAATATACGAGCTTAATAAATTTTGGCTTGTGAGGATAAAAGAACAAAGAAATGGAGGTGTTTAAAAAATAGAAGTATTTGCTAAGAATCAAGTGAATTATACACGTTAGAATCAATTATTTAAATAAACAAAAATGAATTCTTACAATAATCATATTATGTTGAAGTGGTGGCAAAATGAATAAAAGAAAACGGTTATCCATCCATATTATCCATTAAATAATGGGTTGGATAATAAACTTTTTAAAAAATGGTCAAATATAGTAAAAACCATATTATTCACTTAGAAATAACTAACGGGTTTAATTTTTACATTTATAAAGTCTCAAATTAGGGGTTTCTCAAATTCGGGGACTAGAAATTCTCCCAAAAGTGATCGCATTCAAGAAACCATGGATAATATGGATAGGGGATATTTCACATAAGAACAACTGAGTTCCATACTTTTCAATTTTATAGCTCATATTTCAATTCACAACCAACTAGGCCAAAAATAATAGGCTAAGATTCAACATCCAACTCCAATAGGTTCTAGAAATTACTATTTAATTTGTAAAAAAGATTTCTCAAGTTTTTAAGTTAATTTTCGAATCAGTAACTGTGACTCAAATATTAGTTCAACAAATCAAATCCATTTGGGTGGTAAAAATTAAATTTTTAACAAGCTTAAATATGTGGGTTTAAATTTCGAATTTGGTTTTGTGAGAAATTTGGAGTGGGTGTTATTTAGACTTGTTAGAAATAGTATAAGGAGTTTGTATATAAAATTTGAAGTCATATACACTATTATACAAGATTATACATAATTATACAAAAAACTGACTTCGTCTTCTTCCTTGCGTTTTTTTTGAAATTTAACTCAAATCTTGCTCAAATCTACTCCAAATCACTTCAAATTTAAATTTTGAACTCCTTTTGATATTTTCAATCAATTGGAACAAAACTCAATCCAAACAACTAACAAACTCAAAAAATCCAATTTTCGAAAGCAAAGTTTTGGATGGCGTTCAATGGTGGACTTCTACCATTCAATTTTCTTACATTGCAACCAGGTAACACAGGGGAGAAGCAATAGTGGCGGACGACCCCTTGAAGCATATGTAGAAGATGTGAGAAGAAGAGAGTGAAAGAATGGTTGTGAGAACACATATTTAGCTCCATAGCTTTTAGAAGCAATGGTTGTAAGAACACATATTTTGAATTTGCTGGTGCTTTCAAAATATGTACAATACGGGCTAGGTCGGGTAAAACTTAAAAATATGGGTCATTTTTTGTTATGGTATGAAGTCACGTGTATTTTCTTGTAATTCTTTCATATGGATTCCATATTATTCACCTGTTAACCCATTTGTTATCCGTATTAAATATGGGTCGGATCGGTTAATTTATTCATTTTTGCATTACCCATTTTCGACCCCTATGATGTTCTAAACAATGATCATGAATGTATTCTATATCTATTTTTGTCGTGAATTGACATAAATTCTTTATGTATTCTGAAATAAAATTTACGTATCTAAAAATTATATAAAAAGTACTATAAGTTACAAATTCAAAATATTTAAAAATATTTACAAAATATATGGACAAAGAAAATTTTATTTGACTCTCTGAATAATAAAAAGTTCATTCCTTTTTGAACGAGAGGATTATACATTAGAGAGGTTGCAACGATTCAGAAAATCTGCACAAATTACACGATACAAGAGTCAAAAAAATTCCATCTGGCAGACTGCCACAAATCAAAATTCGAGAAGGAGAAAAAAGAAAACCAAAATCATACATCTTCCTTGTTGGAATCAATACAAGATACCAAAAATCAATACACTGAATCAGAATTTAACAAAAATATCATACAAATCCCTCATTCAGACTGGACATATGGATACAAAAGAAAAAAATCAATTTTGTTCAATATACATTCCTAATTCCCTATGATATTTCATCAAATTTTTACATCAAAAGCAGATACATATGGATCATACACCAATCTGTTCAACATCTCAGAAAACAAGTTCATTCCAATTTCAAAAGACACAAAAGCATCAATACAAGCATACTCCACTTGTTCATACGACAATTCTTCAGCATCCCATTGACTCAACGTAACTTTCAACGGCTTCTCCATAACTTTACCAAGAACTTCATACGCCATTCTCTTCAATCCCATTCTCTTCAACCCCATTATTCCATACTCAGGCTCAAATTTACGTACAACCAATGCTAACTGGTACAAATCAACCGAATTCGCTACGAACAATCCATGATCTTGGAACAATTTGTAAACGTCGCCCTGAATACCAACACCAACAAACGTGAAGTTAGGGTTTGCGAGAAAAGCACGGAGAGAATTCGGGATGTAATCAGCGTGAAGAAGTTGAAATAAAAGGCAACGACGGCCGACGCAGAGTTGGAGGAGTGCGATTTTGGGGTTGTTTTTATCAGTGGGGTTAATACAGGCGAGCCACTCAATGTCTAGACCAATCAGGAGCTTGTGTAGTCTACGCCGGTGAATGTGGATTGTTTGGCCAATCCACTTATCGACGTCGGTGGCCTTTTTTGTAACTGTTAATTTGATTTGGTTTTCATAGAAAGGAACAGTGCAGAATAAGGTTTGGGAAATTAATTCGGCCATGGTTATATCTTTAGAAGAGAGAAATTTTGTTGTGATTTTGTATTATAGGAAGGGAAGGTGCGGTATATAAATAGTAGAGTTGATATGAGTTTGCCTTTGTTGAGTAGGATTGGGAGAGAAGAGGAGCTATTTGTTCCTTAACTAGTTCTGTTTCGGTAAGCACTAAGCAACAAATAATGTAAATTTTTCTTATAGTAATTTAAATTATTATCTGCCTATGCTATTTTAAGTTACTTATTTAATTAAAGTAGCTTCTTTACTTTTTGGATACAAGAATAATCTTTTAGATGCAGATGTTGATGAAAAAAAATAAAATAAAAATTGGAAAAATAATCTTACTTATTTTAACTTTGATGATTTATTCCAAGTAATCTATATCTATATCAATATCTATATCTATATTAATAAAACCACGAAAGCCCTTAGCGAAATGACGTTCGACTTTTTTACCCTCTAAAAGTAAATTTCACAGTGGACACAATTCTAATTTAAGTTACTTTCCTGATATTTAGGGCACCTAAAATTTTAGTTATTAAATATTTCCTTATTGAATTAAGTAAGAAGTCCTAATTTTTGGTCTTCACCATAACATGTTAATTAAATAAGAAAACATGAGTACTACCATCTGTATAGGTCAAAATCTGATCAAGGGAACCTCGCCTGAAATAAGGAAATTAAGAATCAATTAGGCCAAGGTCGTGCTTAAGAAGCAAACCACGGCGAGCCGAGCAACCAATGCCGAGGTCAAGCACTCACATCGGGCAAAACGGCTAGTTTAGCAATAAGATATTTTAAAGGAATATTCAGTCTTTGTATTTGTAATTTTGGTAGGGAAGGGGTATGTCCCATATAAGTAGGAATAGAGAGATAAAGAAAGAGGGATCCAATATTCTATCTTGATGAGCTCTCTCTAGAAAGGTTGACTCTCAAGTAACTACAAACACTATGTTTACATAAGATTCGATTTGTTGTTCTGTCCAAGCTTTCCCATAGCAGATCCCATAAAGTATTTGATATTCCCACGTTTGGTTATCTTACATCATTGTCAAAGAGAGAATTTTCCACCTCGTTATACATTTGGGTGAATTATTCTCTTTATTTACATTTATTGTCATTTATCATATTTATTGCTTGTCCTTATCCCCTCATTCATTCACAACAATATCATGAAACCCCTTTTTGGCTTTTAATAGCTTCAAATACGATTTTTAGATAATTATTATCCATCAATCTTGGATCTAAAATTTATTATATTTAGCTAGAATTTACCCATTATCATTTATTTAATTAGTTTAGCAAAAAGGCTTAACACTTTTTGGTCAAACAATTTGGCGCCGTTTGTGGGGAACTTCTAGTTCAAAGCTTTAGTTTTTTCTAGATCTAAAAAAAACACGCACAACGCACAAAACTTTGCAAAATCTCGTGCCTCGTTGTTTGCACAAATCTGACATGTTAGGCAATGGAGAGAAAAAGAGAAAGGTGATAGCGATCTCACCGCCAATCTCCTAAACACCATCAATGAAACTCATGAAGAGGATGAGGAAAACGTGACACCAAGCGCCTCGCCTAGGCAAATTGATTCCCCCCCCCCCCTTATGGCAGCGTTACCGCTTCTCATGAAAAGGGAGCCTCTACGTCCACCACGGATGAAGCACCACCAGCGGTAAAAAGCTACTAGAAGCATGGCTAACGAATACACCAAACAATATACTCGACAAACCCGCTGAGAGGGTGAGTAGAGAGCGTGTGCAAGTCGACATCGCCACAACTAGAGCTATCTAAACGGGCTAGCCCAACCCAACCCAGCCCAAGCCTCGTGGGCTTTTAAATTTGGTGGGCTAGGGCGGGCCAGCCCTCCATCTATATGGGCCTTAAAAGGCCAGCCCAGCCCAGCCCTAAGAGGGTCGTGGGCTAGGGCGGGCCGACCCTTCAATTTTTTTAGATAAAAATATTTCTCCAAATCTTTAGATATTTTTTCGTGATATAATCTCTTGATCATATGAACGACTTCTGTTTATTTAGAGTGTACAAGAATCTTGATATTTTGACAAGGAATCTCGTAATTGAAATGCAAATTCTCTATATCTCTAGCTCTTCTTTTTTTAACGTTACATGAATATATTTTAGTACTTTTCTTTCACTTTCCTTATGTTCAGGAATTGCTTCAATAAGTTTATATGTTAAGGTTTTTAAATTTAGGTTTAACATTATTTGTCGATTTCATCATTATAGTCCATGAAATTTTTAAAATTCATGATATTTGCTAGTATTGTCAATTTTTTGGGGTATTAAAACTTGACCTTATACTGAAGAGCAATTTGATAACTAATAATAAATTAAAGTAACCAAACTGATCATTGGCCACTTAAAATAATATTTTCTTTTGAAAAAAATATTATTGGCCACTTAAAACTTTCCTAGTTCGTTGTTAATTAAGCAAAAGAATAACTGATCTCGTCATACTACATGCATATCAAAAATATAAATTCCAGTTGATGTGGAAGGGTAAATGAGCAATCTTAAGGTTGGAAAATGGGGATTATAGTTAATTTTTTTTTTAGTTTTTACTTTTTTTAAGTATTTAAATTTGAATATAGTTAATTTTTGGCCCACGGGCCGGCCCAGGCCCAGCCTCGGTCTAGCCTCAAGGGCTAGCGGGCTGACTTGGGCCGGGCTTATAAGCCTCAGTTTTAAATGGGCTAAAAAAATTTCAACCCAGCCCTACCCAAGCAGCGGGCTGGGTTGGGCTGGCCTGACGGGCCAAGCCCATTTTGACGGCAACCAATGAGCAACACACTCAACCTCCCTCGACAGGTATCACTCACTCTATTAATAATGCAAGTAACGACGCCCTCGCTGCCATCATTAGAAAAATGGGAGAGATGGAGAACGAGAACAGAGCACTCTCGATATCCAAAATGAAAGTCTGAAAAAGAAAAGAGAGTGAGAAAAAACCAGTAAAGATAGAAGAAAAAGACACAAGTTGCAGAAACAAATAACTCACCCTCAGAGCCATCCCGGATATGTCCAGTGACAGGTCGGAATCCCGGAGCGCCTAAAGGGTCCTGTTCTCGGTGACAGCGCAAAGAGGAGCAAAGGATGGGACCATGCTCACCGTATCATCCAACAAATCACACTCCAAAAGGATTACGATCGAGCGAGAGGATCCATCCGTTCTCACCTCCACCCGTGTAAGCCCATCGTCGAATATCCTCGCCTCCTCGAGATCGACATCAGAGCTAGATTTGTAATCATATACGACACTCTCTTCACCCTCTCCTCAGTCGAATATGGAATTTAGCCTGCCCTGATGTTGACGGACCACTCCGAGGAGTGGTCATAACCGCTCTGGTCGCCCCCCTTCTTCCACGGAGGTAATCTCCACGTCCGAAGGAGGCACGGTCTCTACATCCAAGGCCATACCGCCCCTCAACTCGATCGTGGTCAACTCAGGTCCACTCCCCGCCGGCTCCTCTCCGACCACTCTCCTGTCAGCCTCTATCCTTCGCCTTTTTAGCGGAGCCTCTCCATATTCTCCGTGGTCTGACTCATCGACCAAGTGAAACACTGTAGAAGCCGGAATCTCTGCTAGTGTGGTAGCAGCCTGATGACTAGGACCGTGCTAGGCCGGTGTCTGAGGAATAGCAGCGGCCTGAGCAGGTTCACTTGCAGCCACAACGAGTACGGCCCCGACCGAAACACTCAACTGGCAAAAAGCTGGCGTAGGAGCCCTCGCCCTCCTTGAAGCCCTTTGACCTACAAACGAAGTAAGATAAATAAGAGACAGGACAGAAAGGATGATATAAAGTTCAAAACTATCAAAGTCAAAGGTAACTCACCGGTTGCAGGCCTACGCCCAAACCTCTCATTAAATTGCGACCACTCGCGAATCCCCACAGTATGAGGCAAAATCTGACTCACCCAGTCGCGAATGTCAACGAATGGCGAAGAAGGATTCCTCTCGGCTGCAAAAAGAGAAGGAGAACGATCAGATCGCCCAAAATAAACAATGAAGTCATTTGGGAGAAAAACACTTACGAGCAAAGTTCCACTCCTCGGGGAATCCGCTGGGGTTCGATACCACGTGCTCTGTCTTCACGTAGAAGAAATTTTCCAAAAAACGACAATTAGTTTTATCGTCCATCTTCACCACTAACCCCTTGGTTTCGCGGTGGCGCATGTGAATCATCGTGCTTGGGGCGAAAAGGTGAAGCAGATGGCGGAGAGAAATACAACGGTTGGCCAACTCGGCGTACTTGATAAGCATAAGGAAAAGCTTGTATATGTACGGAGAAAGCTGAGCCGTGCACACATCGTAGAAACGGCAAAAATCCTCCGCCGAGGAAGGAGGAGGAAGTGTATAGCCGACAACGAACGGGTACGCATAAAATGCGCAGTACCCTGGGCGATGTAGTTGCACTACATCGCTACCAGTAAGATAAGTTTGACGTGGGCCGGGATTCGCCACTTAGCCCTAAATGCAGCAATCGCCGTCGTATCCATCCCAGAAATAACGGTGGCAAAATTCTCATCTTCTACCATGGCTGCCCCTTCTTCGTGAGGAGGCACGTCCGCTGCCAAGGTTACAGGATCAGAGGAGGCACTAGCCATTCTTTTTTCTGGTTATATGCTAAAAGGAAATGCAAAAGTGAGGAAGACGATGATGGCAGAAAATGCTAAAGGGAGAAAGAAAATACAGACGCGGGAAATTTCAAGAAGGAGAAACTGGAGTTTCAAGAGCTCTGGAAATGCAACAGCTCAAATGAGAAACACCCATCCCTATTTATAAGTATATGGGCACTCTAACTGAAAAAGCCCAAACGCCACCTCATTAATTTCGAAATGGAAGAGGCGCGAGAAATGACGTAACGTATTGGGAACATGCGCCATAATGACGCATGATGGGATGATGACATTTCGAACTGACGTGACGGTCAGATGTGGCCCTCGAAATGCCACATCATCGCCTCGCCATAAAAGGGTCACTTGAGTTAGTTATACACAATCAATATTTATTGATTATTTTTAGGAACTTACATATTTATTTTATAAGTCAATGCTATTATTTAAATAAATTTATACTCATTAAAAAGGGATTCGCGCGCATCATGCGTATCCCAAAGCT